AAACACCTTGAAATATGAACACATTTTGTTGGTCCACGATGGTGCAGCTTGCTAATTCAACAGTCAAAGTAAATCGTACAGAGTAAGTAACACACATCCACATGCTACTGTGTGCTGTGGGGATTTTACATCGCGTCTTGACAGTTTTAGACTACAACAATTGACTTTCCTTCTCATATCAAAGGCCATATTCTCGATCTCGTCTGCTATTGTGGTATAACCCCCTTCAATGTGCTGTATCCGATCTGTCCATATCCATTTTAGACCAATTTCTAACTTACCTTTTCTATCTAAGATCCTTGAAAAAGCAGTTGCAGCTCTGGTCCACACTCACCTCTCAACAATAATCTGTTTGAAGAACTCCAGTCTGGTTTCCGTCCCCTCCACAGCACATAGACAGCCCTGGTTAAAATCACAAATGATCTGTGGATGGCAGACTCTGGATTCTTATCACTACTCATCCTCCTTGAACCTCTGGTTCCCTAAAAATGACCTTGAACTTAACTGCCATTAAATAGAACTTCTCCTTGTTGGCACCATGTCCACAAAATGTAGCAGTTTTTCACAGTTGACAACTCCACAGTTTCTCCATCTCCCCAAGTCAAGAGTCTGGGTGTCGCCCTCGACAGCACTCTATCTTTCGAATCTCACATCAATAACATCACTCGGTCTGCATATTTCAACCTATGCAATATCCCATATCGATAACTGCAACTCTCTCCTCTGCAGTCTCTCACTCAAACTCCAATTGGTCCAAAACACAGCTGCCCGGATCATCAGCAGGACCCCATCCATTGAACACATCACCCCTGTCCTCCAAATACTGCACTCTGCCCCCTATTAAATACAGCATCAACTTCAAGATTCTACTCATCACTTTCAAGGCTCTCCACAACAGGGCACCTCCTTACCACTCTGACCTCTTCCACAACTACACACCCACCTGTACTCTCTGCTCTTCTCCAACCATGTTCCTCACCACACCTCCTGCCCGGCTGTCTTCCACGGGGTCAAGATCCTTCAGCCGTGCAACCCCCCGTCTCTGGAACTCTCTCCCACAAGCCATCAGTAAAACCGACTCTCCCCCCACCTTCAAATCCTGTTTAAAAACTCACCTCTTCCAATTGGCTGACTCAGTATTTTTTTTTGTATTTACTTGTTCTTTTATTAGTCTGTTGTTGTATATTGCTTGTATTAATGTTTGGTCTGTTTTTATTGTTGTGTATCTGTTTTTATTTTTACTACTTGCACACGTAAGGTGTCCTTGAGGGTCATGAAAGGTGCCCATAAATAAAATGTATTATTATTATTAAAATACATTGAAGAGATGGTGGCTACATGCCAGGAAAAGAGAGAAGCGCCTGCATTCACACCCAAGTCTTTTAGCCAAGATCTGTACATAGTGCATCTTAATGTTGAATTTACTCACCTCAAAAAGAGAAAGTAAATGCTAATGCTTATGCTACCTGCAATTAGATAGTACCCCTTGCCTCCCAGAGCAATAACATGCATCAATCTCTGCAGGACTAAGGTGTGTTGGTAGAAACCACCAGTCCTTTAAATACTCACATCTTGCTGAATCCAAAACCAAACTGAACTGATGAGTGGAGATGATGTT